TTATTTAGCTGGATGATTAAAACAATGTGATGTACAGGAAGTTCGAATATTACATGTATGAAATACCAAATGGCAGTTAAAGATAAGTGGAAGTAAAACAATGTTTTATTCACTTTTTAGAGAAATAAATAAATCAAGACATTCGCGCTGACAGAGGTGGGTTTGAGTATCATTATTTAGAGCCTATTAGACTATACTAGGCATTTTGAAGTCAAAACACCATAGTTATCTGATGAATAGATACATCAAGCATGTGTAAGTTAAAACTCAAATAAGTAGTTTGACTAATCAAGCTATATAAACAAAAATCAGAACATCGACATAACTGTTTATACAGATGCGTCCCAGTTACAGAGGAAAAACAATTTACAGGTTATGCGACAGTAGTGCAATGAATTCATAGGTTAACTTTGGAGTTCATTAAGCGAAACAACGTCGCTAAGGATAGGCATTCATACTCGAAACCTTTCACATCAAAGAACGAACGAGGATAAAGACTTTATTTAACAACAGCTACACAACTGCTTTTCCAACACAATTTAGACAGAATTTAAACCACACTACTTTTTTTAATATTTTAGTTCCAAAAACTGCTTCCAGTTGCAATGAAATGGCTTGGTAATTGCTGGAGATAGAAAGAACACAGTGAGATTGTTTTACTCGTGAAAAGTACACAGTTGACAATGCAGTATTTTAAGTTCAGCATCACTCAAAGTATATGATAATCAATAATAAGGTGCATCAAAGTTGTTGTTCATACTGATACTACACAACGATTCAAATGAAAATAAACCTATTAGCATTGTGCATGTTTACAAAGGAGTCTTACACCTGTACAGACGACTCAGTGAGTTTAATTGCACAAAAGTACCAGATTTATTTAACTTCAAAGAAAAAACAAATAAGCTTGTACTTTAAAATCAATTATATATTCTGAAAGGTAGTTGGATAAATATTAGTGTGACTGGATTATTTATAAAAACCCTTTGACTAGATAGAATAAGCAATGATGATTGCAGAATAATATTTGAGTGTGTTGATGACATTGCAAACATTATTACTCGGTATTTACACTTTGTGATAAAACTTTAACAAGATGATTGGAGTTATGTCTACTTTTTTTAATTATTTCCTTCACGTTCCCCAGTGGAACATAGGGCTTCAAGCTAGTGGCTTGAAGTTTCTGTAGCAGTGCTTATTTTACAGGATGGGGTCGCTAGCCTCATGACCAACCTTTCCTCTTCACCAGCGTTATTTCTGGCTTAGCGAGGTAAAGGAGTGCGTCGGCCGGGGAATCGAACTCCGGACCATGTGCATGGTCGGCGAGCGTCCTAAATACTGTGCCACCGACGCACTATGTCTACTTAGTCATTAGAAAATCCAGCTAACTGACTGCTACGACACACACTTAGACTACATGATACATAAGCCTAATGATTCTGAGGTCAAAATGAAGTTTCTAAGTTCAGTATAGTTTTTTTGGGTGGGGTGGGGAGGGGAACGTAAAAGCAGACGAATCAATTGTAACAAAATAGAATAATACTACTTGTAGAAGAGATTAAATTACAAGAGAAATGTTAGGCGTAAACAGACCGCTGTTGGGATTAACATCCAGCAGTTATTCAACTAGTACTGATAAAAGTCCGCTTCAAACCGTCAACTGAATCACTTTCTACTGACAATTAGTGGGTTAATTTATACCTAATATAAACTTTTACTTATTCAGCATAAATGCTTTATGAACTAAAGTGTACGTCACAACTTAATGTGAAGTTACTAAGTGCTAAGTGTCAAGCACACGTGGGTGAGACAGGAATAAATAGAAAATGTTACTTAACACCCACTTACATATGTATACAGCTGATAATCCACTACACATATCGTGTGAAGGCTAATGATACTGTGGTGGTGCGATACAGAGAATGTGTAAAACGGATTATTATTCTCACATATTCCCACAGTTCAATACTGCGTTAGCAACAGAATACTATACATATTTGATCATTTTATTTTATGTCGTTTAATGTAGGCCAAAATCACACGCTCAGTGATTGGTTAAAGAATATCAACTGTATAGATATAAATAGCGGTTTGATCACTTGAAAATATACCTTGGCTTTCGTGTCTTGCCTTCTGTTGTTACAATACTATTACGTCTCTCGATTGATAGAGAGAGCTTTGAACGCATGGCTCACTGGTTGAAAAGTCAGTCCATAAACCAATGAAACAAAGCTCCACAGGATAAGTTCAACCCAAGTGAAAAAATATTTGAATTTCAAGTACAAGACAGCCAGGAAGCGGAAACTTATAATCACTGAATGCGTCAACTGATTCTAGATATTGAAAAATCGATCGTCAGGTTATGATCTAGTAGTAAATTATCTTTACAAAAATTATTTTATATGAATTACAACCTAAGTTATCAAACACTTGAAGGTTTGTACAATAAGCTGTGCATTAAACCTACTGAAAAATGCTAGTTACCTCATACAGATTTTTTATACACCAGAGCATAAGTCGGACTTATTGTGTGTGCACTGATGATCCTAACAAGCACTCAAATTGAAGTAATTGAGGCGACAAGGGATGCATATGAGATGCATTGTCTGAAACATAAGAGTTAAAGATAATAAGCTATACCTATTAACAGCAATACTACTAACTTCAATAATAATCAGTAACAACGATAGATTCACTGATGAGGGACCAATACAAGCCACTGGAATGGATTGATGGTTGAAGTTCGAACACAAATCTGCAGGTGACGAAATTCAAACTTAGATTACTTGATATAAGAATAGAAACTGGATAGAATCCTATTAAACAGAACATTTGTTTAATTAAATCTCTCAGTATCATACAGTAATATTCACTGATGAAGTTTCGGGCACAATTTATCGCTGATAATCATATCAAGGTTACTTGAGATAGATTTCTCAACTATCCAAAAAGTGTAGAGACAAGATATGCATCTTTAAAAAGTTGAAACTACCGTTTATCAGTAGGAAATAATCATGGAATAATACAATCGTACAACATTACACAAGCAGACTGCATTTATCTACATTTTCCATTATTCACACAGCACCGATATAAAGATGAAGACATATGGACGTAAGATACAATACATAACTATGCAGAGTATGCTGTCAAATACATGAAATTATACTGTGGAGATTAAACCGCGTTTACAATTCTGTAAAAAGAATATTTTGGCGACTAAACTTCGTAAGATGCTTAAACTCATTCAGGATTTATTCTGGAATTCTATAATCCCTTGCTTTTATACTTTATTATGACTTCAGAACTGAATGGTTTTATGGAATGGTAGATATTGACTGGATGTGGTGATAATTTTAGTACGTGACGAATGTGTAGCAAACAACTAGTTTGACATTTATATTCTATTTCCATTAAAAAAAGGAAATACAAAGTTCGATTGCATAAAAATTGGGGGTGTGAAACAACGTCGGTGGCACAGCGGTTAGGACTCTCGCCGACCATGCACATGGTCCGGGGTTCCATCCCCTGCCGGCGCACACCCGATGTCAACGGTCGGCCTGCAAAATTTGGGCTACCGATATCACATGCTGAAAATTCCATACTTGTACCAAAAAATACTGTGTGGTTTCAAGCTATAATCAAAATAAAAAATAAAAATAAATAAATCTGTTAACTTCAGATAACCAGAATTTAATAAACCACACCTAACCTCTTCGAAACGTACCACCTTAGTAGATTTCAGCCAGTTATTATATTATTATTATCCCTTTGGTTTCCAAGTGGAACATAGGGCTTCAACAACACATCTCCACTTTGTTCTATTTGGTGCTATCTTCTCCAGCTGGGTTCACGATTGACCATAATCTCTCATCTCCTACTCACACGATCTACTCCATGTCACAATCGCACAGATGACCTACTCGTCGCTTCCCATTCGGATTCCACCAGAGCGATAGCCTGCATTGCGCACGATGTCATTCGACGGCCTCCTCAACGTATGCCCGATCAATCCCTCTCCATTTTCTCCTACATATTTGTTGAGCAATGGGGTCTCGGTTGGTTTGTTCCAAGCCAGAGTTTCCTGTTGCTAATTCTTTCTGGCCAGCTGGCAATTTGGTCTTCAGTATGGAGCCAGAGAAGGCAGCTGTCAATAAAAGTCTGTAACTTGTTGGAAATCCTTTACGTGACGCACACGCAGTGCAAGTTTCTGACCCATATCGAAGTATTGATTGTCTTTACATTTGTGTTGGAAATCCGAGTCTTGTTCTTTATGCTGAGGTGGAGTGCAGAAGATTTCCAAACTGCTTTCAGTTTGATGAAGGTGTATCTTGGCTTTCCGATTCTGGTTGACTTTGACATCTCGATCCGTTCCGACTACCTGTGATTGAAACCGTGCTTCCTGGATAAGTGAAGGAGGTAACCTCTGTTAAATCTCTCCCGTCGATCGTGATTAGTGGTGGATGTTGCCGTTGATTGGTTATCTTCAGCCAGTGGCAAGCCTAAACCCAATAATTCATGCCACAAAGTAGTAAACACTGTAATACTATAAATATGTTCAGAAAGTTCACAGAAATATGTTCAACAACTAATTACAAGTGTATTTTACTTATTTATTTTACATTTTCCGAAAACTCGTCACTGCTACAAAATAATGACGAAACCATCATGTTGTTAAGCATGTTGGCAACAAAACATAGTAGAAAACACCATCTCCACGTAATAAAATCGATCGGACTGAAGACAATTATAAACAACCCGCATAACACGGATAAAAACAAGTATACAAATATATATGTATATATGCGCTTATTTCCTGTAAACTTTTAGAAAGATTAGAAGCAATAAAAAAGAACAAAAAGGATAAAACGAATGTTATACAATGAATTTGTACACATAGAGACTAATTTATGAGGATATATATATATAGATATACACGTACACGCACTAGGACAGAGAAATAAACCAGTTTATATAGAATGTTTTAAAACGACACTCACTTTACTTGTTACACAATCGCGTAGTAGGAGTGCTTTTACACCATAGATGGTTTGATGACGATGGTAATCGATTAGCGCATTGATTGAGTTGAATTTATTTGTCCAAATGTAGTATTTACCGTTTGGGTCAAAAAATATGCGAAAATGCAACACTGATGAACCCTCTCTGTGAAGTAAGTAACAGTAACAAGTAAACACAAAAATTAGGATTGTGAAACGTCATGAAATACACTGATGTACACCTACCGTTAAACCGATAAATTTTTTTGGTTTTTCAGCAAAAGGATAAAATTTTGAAATAGTGAGCGAATGGCTTGAAACCTGGATTGCAATAAAATCCAAAATAATGAATCTGATTTCAGAAACAGATGCTAAATTCGCTGCTGTTTCACCATGGTTATACTTTCTGAAGCACCCCAGAACAGACAGCAGCAGCAAGTGTTGGCAATCCACAGAATCCCTGACAGCTAATCTGACAGCCTTACCTGGCGGAACATAGAAAAAGTACAGCTTGGTCGCCAGAGAATGAACCACAGAGGTTTATATATATATATATATATATATATATATACATGACAGTTAAGAAATGGAAACTGCAGCAATGGGACCATTGGCTTCAATCCTGAATCGCATATGATGTTCACTTAAACCATTATGTCGTATGATCTTTTCGACCATATTTAGAAAGTTGTGATGTGCTAACAGATGACACCTAATAAAAAATGACCTTCCACACATTTCTGCGACAAAATATGTAACACGTCTAAGCCATTGAAGCCTTATGTGCACAGGATAACTTTACTCATCGAAGCACACCCTCCATCAAGTTCAAACATGCACATGCGAAGCTCCATAAAATGTACACAATCATTAAGAACAGATTATCAGAAATACAACCACTGGACAGTCGCAGCATGAGGCACCTACGCTTCAAAGTTGCGTAACGGAAATGAATGTACAGAAACCTTATGAACGCAATATTTGACAGTTACACTAACATCGCCACAGCGCTAGCGGATTAGTGTATGTGGTAGAAAACCTCACATATTATGCCTCCACCAGTGCTCACAAAGCTAGTTAGACATGCTCTTCGATTATTTTTACCAATTGATCAGTAGTTGATGGGGGGAGTTTAAAGACAATTTATTAGCTTTTTCGTAGTACCAGTGTGGTGAGAACTGGCTGCTAGCCAAATCGGTAGATTTATGTCAATGTTTACGTCCTCAATATTGGTCGTGAGAAAAATATGAACAAAGACTGATTCCACAACCAACCACAGCAGACTTTGCGTAGGCGGATACAGTTAGCATATAGATGATCTGAGATTCAAGAAACAGCCACAAAGAGATGAAAGACTAACTTGCAGTGAGAAACAACCAATCAGAAGACTGTGTTTTTCCGCTAACAATTACCTATAATAATGTACAAGAAAATCTATAAATATGTGTTGATTTCCTTAATAAACGATCTATTGCCTGGCCCTTGTCTTCTGTTGTTACACCAGGAACATAGCACACCTACAGACACTAATGGCCTACTGATTGGTTTGATTAGCTCATATATCACCATGATATATTACAACATTCTGTGCATGCTCCAAGTCAAATAATCTTTCTCCAAGTATTAGATCCGAAAACTTAATCGGATCCTATATGGCCATCAGTAGAATATTGTCAATGGAAACGCTAAAAAGGAGTGCCAAAGTTGAGCAGTCCCTCCTCTAACAACACTGTTGCCTAAAAAAAGTGGTAACAGGTAGTTTTATATCTTCGCTTTACCTGAGGTGCTTTTGTATGCGGCTTTGAAGATACGGATACACTTCCTGCCGTGGTTGGTCAACCAAACTGGACTCATACCATCGTTCCAGATTTCTTCGAAGATTTTTGTTCAGGATTTCCATACCGTCTCTTATATCAGACCTTTCGTTGGAAAGGATTCGGGTGAGATCAAATAGTTTTCGAGTGCCTCTAGAAGCAACTGATGCTTATATTTCACTTCTGTGTTTTGAACTCCTGGCCTTATGTTCACATCGTAAGCATTGTGGCTTTAAGTGTAAAAATCTTATTAAGGTTACCATATTTGTTATTCATTGAAATAAACCGATAGGAATCAAAATATTTCAGAGACATGGGAATCTAGTTTTTCTTACTTAAACGAGTGGCTTTATTCACCCGAAACAGCACATATCAACACAGCAGCTTTCCAGGGTTCTAGCCAAACCTGCCAGTTGTTCGATTTGTATCGAGGTGTCAGGATTATATTAGGTAAGCTTGAATGGGATACGATATGTCAGAATAGCCTTGTCACATATGACACTGGATAGAAACTTTTTGAAAGCAACTGTTGAAAACGATACAAACAGCGTAGGATTGAAAAATAACAATGAACAGCTGAATGTAAGAAAGTTGAGAAAGGTAAAGCTAAAAGAAATAATTCCAAAAGAGTCTTCACATTAGACTAAAATAAACAGATGAGGAAGTCCACGACGCAAAAGAATTGCTCAGTTGTGGTAGAGTTCAACTTTTTATTGAATTTTCTCTTGATATTTCTGTATGAGGGCTGAGATACTCTATACGGATGTCAAGACTGAATCATGTAACATAGATAAGTGCATACTAAGTTGGTTTAAGTTCGTGAATCTTTAGAAAGCAGTGGTTACGGACCACTGATTACATTGCTTAAAATTCATCAAAAAGAAGCACATACTTTCACAGTTTTGTGACCAGTATTGTGAATTTGAATCTACCATATAACGCATTTAGTCTCTTAAAACTTCACTATAAATTGCATAGTAGAGTTTTCAAGGTCTCTTATTTCATGTCAAATCAATGAAGCAAACTTACTGATCACAGTTTTAACATCTCAAGTCAATGGTGTTTGATGGGTTGGTGAGATACGCATGCGTACGTACGGTTATCCACTTGACTTCACTTGATCAAGATTCTATAACACCCTTTCTCGTGTGAACTCTGTAACTATAATTTGATAGTTAATAAGGATTAGTTTTTATGAATAGTCTAGTCTTCTATAAAAAAAAAACAGTGACATGTAGCGACCACAACAATAGAATTCAAAGTAAAAGTAGCAGGACTGAGTTAGATATGAAAGAACTTAAGTAGCATTTTAGAATGTCAGGACAGCAAAACTGATAGTAGTCCTTGTTTGCCAAAACTAAACTAAGCCAGCAGTAATATCAGGGCACAGAGACACTACCTCATTTGCCACTTTCATGCTCAAGTTAACAGTTGACTTAGGCCTAACCACTATTCGTTATAGTTAAAGGTCATTGTGTGCTAGAACACTGGCCAAGCTCAGATTTGGGCATGTATTTTTCTACCACAATGGATGCAACAAGTATAAAATTGAGTTGACTTTCCAACCTCAACCACATGATAAGGATATTACGACTGTACTTAAGTAGGAAGCGACCAGAACAAAAAAAGAGAACAAGTATTATCTATGGTTTAATGTAAAACAGTAACAAACGCCACTTTGAGAGACAGTCTGACTGTCCTCCATTTATTTCTCAGTTATTCACTATCTAGCAGAGTCTGAATGAGTGATCCACATACAACGTCTCACACCTGCATTATTTAAATAAATTTTAAGTGACCTTAAAAGAAGGAAAGCAGCTGAATCTGATAGATTACTTTCAAGATATTTCAGAATATCTATCAGGACTATTAGTTTAACTGAGTGGGTCTTTAACAATCAGAATAGGAAGTGAATCAAGCAAGTTCCAATCTATTTGTATTTATCATACTTCTGTGACGATCTATTCTGTATGCACTGTAATATATACTTATTATTTTCAACTGATTATTATACAGTTCCTTCAACGTTCAGTAAATCAAGTTGAATCTATTACCACACCACCTTTGCCTAGTATGGGCCAATGACAAATCCAAAGTTGATCTGCTTCAAATAAACGAAATGCATGTTGCAGCATGTTAACGTGTAAAAATGAATTGTTTCCTTGGAAACACGGTTGGAGAATAACATCGACGTAAGATCAGCAGACTAAGTCGTACCAGTAAACAATCCTTTGAAATACCGCTTACCTATTGGTGCTCCTACTGTTCAACCATTCTCATGTAACGACAAAAGCCAAGGTCCAGGCAACAGATCGTTTATTGAGAAAATCAAGAGATATTTATGGATTCTTATGTACACTATTATCCGTTATTGTTAGCAGAGAAGCAACGTCTTCTACTTGGTTGTTTTCTTGTTGAAGGTTATTCTGTCATCTCCCTGTGGCCGTTTCTTAGATAGTCAGGCCATATATTTGCGAATCCTACTTGCACATGTTAAGTCTGCTGTGATTGGCTGGTGAGGTCCTCAAAGTTAAGCTTTTTTGGTTTTGTTTTTCTCATAACCCCGATTCGGGACATAACACTGACGTAAATTGTTGTCTACAGTTTTGGCTTGCAACCAGCTCTCACAACACTCTTAATTGACCGGTGCAATTTCCTACACTTTTGTGCCACTATTCGGTCACATAGGTAAAAGCATTATTAAGAAGCACAAGAAATATCCAGTTCTCGTGCTTCACCAAGAGTCGATGTTATTCTCTGTATGTTAATAAACATGTGTGTTGTCGGTGCTTCTAACTAGACACTATCACGTCATTAGTTTATGTTTATCATATATTACGAAGTCACTTTTCACTGATAAAACTGCATATCCAATTTATATTTTTTTAAATAGGTACAACAAGACCTCTACATAAGACTAACGCAATGCCATATACTCTGAGGCTTTCAGCGGTCGGTTTAGTGATTATTCAAGTTGTGAGTTTACCATAAATAAATGGTCAGAAACTCTTTGACTGATGCCAACTATTTAGTGCTTCGACTTCAAAACGCTTCACCAACATTTTCAGTACCAATAAATGCACTGATATTATACACCATTATAGGTACTGCTACACTGAAACAATGAGGAACTATGATAGTTACAACACACAGGACGGATAGGTACCACTGTCGAATGTATTACTCATAGCATCAACAATGATTAGGATTTTCCAGTAAAGTAAACCCCTATAGTCAAATCAGTTACCGTATAGATACTTGGGGGGATAATACACAAGCTGTTTAAAACCAAATGATACACCATCCTGTCGGTTTACTGGTACTTCAGCGACGTAATCACACGCACACACAT